TGAAACACTACTTTATGTGTAATGAATCTCTATAAAAATGCAATTTCACTTTGTGAGATGACAAGAAATTGCAGGAAAAAATGCACTTTTACACAGTATTCTATTTTTTTTTTTTAGATGTACTTGTACAACTTGGAGATAAATGGAACATTAGGAGAGACCAGAGCTTGTCACAGTAAGCTGGTTCACAGTAAGCCATTACGTAACAGTCAGCATGCATTCCAAGTACCATCAGTATTTATCCCACAGTTGGAAAACCTTGGTTTTAAATCATTTAAACATCAACAATCCCATCATATGCATAACCTTTTGTAGTTCAGCCAAGACAATTAACACGGACTCCTGATGCTGTCGCCGCCACATCTCTTTGCTTTCTTAGCACTCTGCAAAGACATTTCCAACAAAACAAACAGCTTTTTCATTCAATATATATGAGGAGACTTTCTACATGGTTTTAGGAAACTGGGTGTATATTTTTAAAAAATTTATACCCGCATGGGTGTTTCACCTCTTGAAAAAGATGATTTTTTTTTTTCTACTAACTTGAAAGGGCAAAGACACGAAGAGCATGGGAGATTCATGTCACACGCAGAGTGTAACCAGTTCCTGGCAGAGATGTTTTTTATACCTTTTAACAGGATCCTTTTTGTCCAAACATCTGTGGAAGGACCTTCTGGATTTGAAATAAACAAGTTCTTATTTTTCTCATTTTTTTAACAAGAAGTCTATAACACATCTAAAGGTGTAGGATATGTTTATTCTTTTTTCTTTTCTCACAAATAAATCTAATTTTTAAATAAAATGTAGCTTGAATCCTCACCCTTGATCTAATCGAGGTAATTTGGTTTATGGGAGGGCACAAGAGGACTGTGTGCCTTTTGCCAGAACATTGCAGAGCTGGTGTATGCCGTGACCCTCACAGGTCGGTGACCCTGCACCAAACAACAGGAGCCAGGCCAGTCGATGATGCAGAGCAGCGGGAGGTGTGCTGCAGAAATGGTAGAGCTGCTCCGCACTCAGCCGATGATGCAGGCAGGGCTCACCAGGAGGCTGAGCCATGAGCCCCACGCCTCCCTGGCGTTGATGAGAGATCCCAGCGGCAAGCCGAGAGGCTGACAGGTCTGTGAATGTCAGAAGAGACAGATGGTGGAAGAAAAGAAGAGGGGGGGGAGAAAAAAAAGCGACATTTTTAAACATCGCACTGTCCAGAAAAATTATAGTGCTTTGTAGGGATGTTGCGCAGTCCTCTCAATGGGAGGCGTGTTTCTTGTCATGCCATTGTCTCTCTGCAGTGGTCAATTAGGTTCTGGGAACACTCGAGGGGGAAGTGTTGTCCAGCTGCCGTGTGTCAGATCAGGCTGTAGCTCTCGTGAACTGTAATGAGAAGAACCGTGCACTCCATCTCTCTATCTAGTTAGGAGCAGCAGTACAAGCAGACACACCAGGAGTGCTCTTTTCAGAGCTGTTCACTGCAAAGCTTTCCTGTTAAAACCTTATTGCCCTTGTTCACCATCTTTAAAGTGAGAATGAATTATTTTTTTCAGTGTTTGTGTTATTACAACCCATGGTTGTGTCCTGTGCAGGTTTTTTATGACGTGTCTTGTGTGATGGTGTTATGTTTTGTCCCACTATGCATGTTATTGTCTACCTGGTTGTTGATGATTGGAGAGCAAGGGCTGGTCTGCGGAAAAGAATTTCTCCTTTGGGACAATAAAGTCTGAAGTCTGTTATTGTCATTGTTATTTAAGGTGTGAATCACTTGTCATAGGTGTTTTTTTAACTTTATCCTACAAATCTATCAATCAGTCACATTTTATTTGCATAGCACATTTCAGCAGCAAGGCATTTCAAAGAGCTTTACATAATTAAAATAAAAACAGCATGTGACACTGAATAAACAGTGAGAAAGAGAAAGATTTAGAAAAAAAAAAGATTAAATAAGATAAAAACATTAAACCCCGCGCCCCTTTTAGGACTTCATTTAAACATTGTTTAACTGGGACTCTAACCCTCTGGGAATTTAGTCAAAAACATCGTTTGACAAGGAGTCCAACCTCTAGGTTTTTCGGACTTTAGTCAAAACGCCGTTTGACAAGGACTCTAACCTCTCGGACTTTAACAATTTTAAAACTCACTTATGTGTCTGTTGTTATCGTGTTAGTTGAAACACCGTCAACTGGGACTCTAAACCCCGTAGGACTTTAGTTAAACATCGTTTAACTGGGACGTTTTCCGGGGGGCTTTACATCATTAAAACGTAGACAGTGAGAAAGAAAAATAAAAAGAAATTAATAATAGATAAAAAGTAAAGATAAAAACATTAAAAACTCTAACCCTAATTTAGCCATAAGCAACTCTAAACAGGTGGGTTTTAAGTTGAGATTTAAAGGCTCTCAGTGTTTCAGCTGTTTTACAGTTTTCTGGAAGTTTGTTCCAAATTTGTGGTGCATAGAAACTGAATGCTGCTTCTCCTCGTTTGGTTCTGGTTCTGAGGATGCAGAACCATGAGTATAAATGAGTATAAATAATAAAAACACATAGACTGATGTTTTCAACCATTTATTTGTGTTAATAAAGATGCTTTTCTGTTTATTGCAAATGAAAACAAAACACTGCATTTATTTACTTTTTTATTGTTAGAATTACTGAAGACCATTAAAAAAACATTTTCGTACAAAAATGCGGGGCGTCATGAAAAGTATGTTCAATACCTGCTTAAAGGTTGCATTTCTAAAAGGTAGTTTTAATCTAACAAACGAGGCTAATTAGACTATGCTATCATTTGATAGCTGCATATGCTATCAAATGCTATCATTTTGATAACATGCAAATTATGTTTTATGTGAGTAATATGAAACAGATTACGTTTTTCCATGAATAAAAAAATCAATTTCTCTTTTGATACAAGTTTAGAAGAACTCACAATTTCCTACCAGGGTTTACTTTTGAGCAAAGAATTATTTGTTGTGGAAACAAAGAATTTCAGAAAACATGTTTGAAGTAACAAACTAAAATAACACATTCTTGAGTTTTTAACTTTCTTTTTTGTCAAACTGAAATCCATGGTGATAAAATCTGGATTACTATGAATACAAATGTAACAGGGGGCAAATGCAAGTTTGAAAACCATTATTTTTTGCGTACTTGAAATGAAAACCTTGAAGGGTCTTTTGAATTCATCATATTTATAAAACTCTCCACAGACATTAACCCCTCAGAAAAATAACATCTTAAGCTTTAAGGAGCAGCAGAATATATTCACCGGTTCTGCTGGGATGGAAATGTGTCATTTGTACTCGTAATAGTGATATTTAAATGCTTAAATGGTTCAGCTTTTGAATGGTGTATTTATGGAAAAACATAGCTGATGTGTGAAAACTTGAGTTCCCAGAACAAATTGTGCAGCAAAGCTGAGTCATGTGTCACTCTAAATCTGAGTTCACTGCTGGATGACTTCATAACTGAACCTTCGTTTACTTTCTATGATTGTTCCCAGTATGCGTTTCTGCATTCAATTTAATTCAATGATAATTAATTAGCATAGGAGTATTTCTTGAGTGTATTCTCTTGGCTTCAGTATGGAATCCATCATGAGTCAGTCAGCATATGTATTAAACAGGCTCCAAGAGCTGGTGCTGAATGTGAGTGACAGTCCTGCTTATTTCATCTTGGAGCTACTGTTTACTGACTTTAACTCATTATTTCTGTTTACTCCGACAAAGGGATGGGCTGAAACTCTTAGTGCTATTTCACCATCATTCCTGCTTTAATCAGCTTCTATAACACAGCTGAGGTTATTAAATACACACAGTGGCGGCATGTTATTACAGGATGAAGCATACCACTAGCTCCTGACCTAGTAAAAACACTTTAATTATAGAACCTTGACAAAACAAAGACTTTCAATTAAGAATAGACCCTCAATGTATTTGCTGAGGCTCAGCTTCTTATTTGCTGAAAACAGAGTGATCCATGCCAAATGCTTGAAGCAACTTTTACTTCCAGTTGCTTTTTACATTTTCTTTTAAAATTTTATTTGCAAAAGGAAGAAAATCAATAAAACAGAATGAAAATATCTGCTATTATTTGAATTATATGGTTACGTCCTGGAATAACAATCCTACAACTGAAAATGTTGTAAAGACAATAACTCAGTACTAGTAAATAATTAAATATTGAACACATAGATGGTTTTATGGTGAACAATTAACTTACTGATTAACCTTAGCAACACATCTACAGTGGACTTGGACATCGGGAGAAGTCGCCTTTGGACCAGATATATTGACTATTTGTCGATTAAAGTAGAGGAATGACCTAAATATGTTGAAGAGCAGCAGCTAAATGTAAAATATCTTTACTCTAAATATAACATTGTTAAATAGTTACCACACCATACCATACCATACCAACTTTATTTATAAAGCACTTTAAAACAACCACAGCTGATACAAAGTGCTGTACATTAAATAAAAAAAGAATAAAAAATTAAAACTCTTACAGTTTAAAAACAAACATACAATTTAAAACCAGATCCTGCTGGAGTTGAAAGCCAAGTAAAACAGATGGGTTTTAAGACGAGCTTTAAAAGTTGTGTTTAGGTAAGTAAAAGTCTATTTGACTATTTACTGTCTATTTTTGATGTGTTTTGATTTATTTGTGGCATTCACTGCAAAATATCCATGGAGTAAGTTATTATTATTATTTTATATTAAACCGAGCAACTTGTAGAGCTCTGTGCCGTCCATTTATTTGAAAGAGAGGAATTTCTTGTTTTTTAAATGAACGCTTTCTTATTCACTGGAACAGATAAACTACTATGACATATTTGTTGTGGATGTTTAAAAGACACATACCATTATATTTTCTGGTATAGTACATCACAAACACAACAAAAATGTGTTTTTAAAAAGCAGTTATATTTTATCATATCTTGCACGCCGTCCAAACCTGCACACATGAGCAATACAAACGTTCGCACGTGGAACTTCATCACGGATGTGACGTCAACGCGCTGCAATTCAAATTTCAGGAAATGAAAGTGTTGTTTGAGCAACGGTCTCGTCAGAGGCAGAGTGGATTACAAACGCTCCTTCTGCTCCTTTTATAAAGTAAGTGTTCTACATTTCTGCTCTGTAGAGTCATTAACATGTATTCTGTACTTTTATGTGGATATCAATGTTAGAAATTATAAGGTCTCAGGTAAAGGAAAAAAGTTATTTTTGTTTTCTATGTTGTCATCTTGAAAACGTTTGTAACAAAGCTTGAGATTCGGCAATATTTCAAAAGGCTTTTTTACTTTAAGGTGAATTCGCTTTTAAATGGTCTGTTTTTTAAAAATGTGTAATACATGTCTGAATTGGAATGATGACGTTTCCTATTTGTTGGTACAAGTACTTTAAAATACATCTTTGGGTTTTAAACGTTTTCCTGATATGTCGGTGCTTCTTTTTTCCTGTCTCTGTTGCAGATGAACTCCGGTTTAGTTCAAAAGCAATAATACTTAAACTCGTCAAACCCGTTCAGGAATGCCCTTCTTTAAAAACAGACTTTTTAAAATACAGATTAATAATAATAATATTACTTAAAATCTGAGAAGTTATTCTGAAAGCCCTCAAAAAGTCAGTTTTACTGCTTTTTTTATGGCCAGAAACAAAGTTTCGGTTGCCTTTGACGAGGTTCACTTTAAAAACAGCATTTTATAACTTGTCAAATCTGTGTTAGGGTATCAACACTAAATATGCATTATTTTTAAATTCAGTTACGATTGTGCGTTGTATTCTTTATTCAATACATTTAGTTGGGGTCATGCTGTTCAAATGACTTTTTGAATTTTGCTCTGAGGTCTTTCAGCGTGAATCTTGCTTTTTCCTCCCTGAGTTTGCGTTGATGTTACTCAGGATTCTTTCTACATTTCCAAAACTTGGATAAACTCCTTAAACTGCCTATGCATTGATGGTGTGATGGACAGAATAATTTGCAATATTGTCACAGAATACACAACAGAGATCATCACATATTATTTACTGACATTTTCCTCACTAATTACTTTCTGTTTCATAAAAACAAACTCGGCTTTCAAATCTCAATTGCAGCCATAAAGTCCTGTTAAAGTCCTTCCAACTGCCCAGATAGCTTACTGTATTACACCTGACCTGTTGTAATCTGCTTGTCTATATATTTGATCCAACAGTCATTAATATTGCAATGATGATGTAAAATGAATTATTTGCGGTTCTAATCACTATTGTTGGTTTTTATTTTAATTATTAATTCTAGTCCTAAAGAGATTATTTTTTTGCTTGAAATCTGCAGTCAAGTAGTGCAAAAATATGCACTGCCAAACTTATTCTTTAAGTTATTTAAAATCTTTTTATCAAGACTTTTAAATGAAACAGTACAAGTTTGAAATTTTCTGAAACATTTTACAGCAAACAACCCCACAAAACTGCAAAGGTATAAAATGGAGACGGGGTGAATGTTCACCCACACCCAAGAAGATGTTAACTATAGTCGGAATAGATCCAATATCCTGTAGCAGCTGCAGAAAGCATCAATGTTCACTACCAGTTAAAATTACAATGACTGTTCTCTCTTTACAAATGATTAGATTCAAATCAAAGCATAACAGCTTCTTGAAATGATTTGTCTGTTTTAGAACACTCCATCTTACACCTGTGCTATCAACAAACGAAGCCATGGCATCTAAAGGTGCCAAAGAAACCCTCGTCTCCAAGTTGGGATTCAGATCCAACAATTCTGGCTCAAAGGCAGAGGCAGAGCTGGAGAAGGTCCGGAAGGAGAACGCCCACTTGAGGAAAAAGATTGACGAACAGGCCAAACGGCACATCAAGGCCCCCGACTCGGACAAGGGCAAGCTGCTGGAGGTAAAGGGGTTCAGCATTACTGATTTCCAAATCCCGTTGTATTCATTTGTTTCTAAATATGTTCATTTGATTCTCCAGAGGATTCTTTCCCTCGAGACGCTGCGTGAGAGGAACAATCAGCAGCTGCTGGTCAAAGAGCAGGAACTGGAAAGTCTAAGACAACAGCTGTCAGCTAAAGGAGGAGAGGTACATGCGCTGACAACTATCTGCTTTCAGAATCGCATTTGTCCCATCATCCGTCACGACGAGGCCTCTGCACACCTGTACATGGAAACACACGATTAGCTCAGGCTTAAAGTCCTGCCTAAATGAGAATAAACTCACAGCAGGAGCACTCTTCAGCTTGTGACTTTTTTTTTTTTTTCCCCCACACTCTGGTATTGCATTGGTGGCATGTGGGGAAACTGTCAGCGAGAGGGAAGGGAGGAGAAAAAAAAAAAACATCCTGGAATTCCAATGAGCTGCCACAAACAGAGGGGGAAATCGCTTCTATCCCACTTTGACAGCAGCTCTGCAAAGTGAAGTTTAGACAACCGGCAGAAGCTGCATACCAACATACACCGTTAGATTCTGTTCGCTTGACATTTATAAACTGTTTGTCTGTGGCTGCTGTCTGTATGCATTAGCATTCATGTCATGTTGCCGTTTGACACTAGTGTAAAAACTCGTTCTGCTGTTGCTTATCCTTGTGTAATATGTCTTCTATTGTGGCAGAAATGACTCTAATTTAGAGTGGTCAGAGTGGCAGCAGGCTAAGCTCACAGATGACATGCTGGTAAATGGAATGTCAGCGTTTTGTTTTGCCCAGACATTAATCATGCTTGCATCTTCCTCATTAAGTTTCATCAGCAGACATGCAAGTGGCTAATGCCACCAGACTCCCAGCCGCGCTACGTCGATTACGAGAGAAGGATAATTGCACAGAAGACAGAAAAATAAATTTTTCCCTCTCTCCCCCACCCCCTCCATCGAACTACGCTTCAACAATAAGGTTAAAAAGATTTTGGTGACACACGGGCTTCTTTTTTCTTTTTCTTCTTTTTTTAATAGGTAGTTGCGTCGCTGCAGGCCCAGCTGGAGCAGCGCAGGAGAGAGGCAGAGCAGAGAGATGGGATGTTCCAGAGCTTGTCACAGGAAACGGAGAATCTGAAAAACAAGCTGGCCACAGTTTCCGCTCGTTGTCAGTCCCTGGAAGCGCAGGCCACGGTAGGCTGACCCTAATACGCTGCTACCTGTCGAGATGTTCTAATTAGTCGAGAAGAGACGTCTCTTCTTGACATGATCTGGTTGCTTTTTCTGTGCAATGGAAATTATCTAGCTGATCTTTAGATTTGCCTGGACAAGCGTTTGTGACTTTTTGCACTGCATCATCATAACTGGATTATTGCTCATATATTTGACATTTATTATAGCGAGAATGGAAAAGATGAAATGATTAGTGGTAACGCCGATCTCTTTCAGTTTCAGTTGAGAAGTCAACACCTGATGATCCTTGGAGTATAAGACTATAGACTTTGAGATATTAAAGATTTACTTTATCTGTAAAAAAAAAAAAGTCAAATGTTGAATCCTTTCATCCCTCTCTGCCAACCCATCTACCCCTCCATTGTTTTATTTATCTTCTTTCCTGACATCCCTTTTTTCCATCACCCATCCTTCCGTTGGTCCGTTTGTCCATCTATTCCTCTGGAAATCCCTCTGTCCCTCCAGCCATCTATCTTTTGTCATCCTTTAGCCCCCATCCATCACTCTGTTCCTCTATCTAGTTGTCCCTCTCTTCATCCAACTCTTCCTCCTTTCCACCATCTTCATGTCAGTCTGTGTGTCCATCTCTCCATTTGCCAAATGGAGGGAGAAATTGCATTCCCAGACTTTATTTCCCATGTTGTTGTCTTACAGTTATATCCATCCATCCAAGCTAATTGATAATGATGGTGATTTATGATTATGACTGAAAAGCATTATTGAGTAGAAAAAAGCTAATCTAGAACAAGAGTAGAAAATGTGCCTTTGGCTAGGTAAAGTAAATGGTACTTTGATCCTTAAATCTATCTATTCATCCCCTCTCACCCCCAAACTAATTTTTCATCCATTCATCTAAAGTGTGTGGTTCTGGTTTTCATGTTTAAAACATGAGCACAGTAGAAATGTTTGCTTTAAATCTGTGGAGAACTTTTAGATTTATGCTTGCCAAAAAGAACCGACAACTCTGCAGAAAAAGTGCAAAGATTTTGACATGCAAAGTGATCAGTGATTGATGGATAAAAGGGCCTGTTAAGGGAACTGTGGCTCTGTTTTTGTCCATCAGGTGGCAGTGTTTAATCTCAGTTTTCCTGCTGACATCACCTCCCTGGAGCCTCCTCACCGCTTTATCATGAAGGGTTTATTGCTCTGAAATACATCAGCTGTACTAAGCATTGTAACGGTGAAAATCAGATTTTTCAGTAGCCGCTTTGTTTTTATCTGCCGTCAGCAGTGTAACTCTGCTTATGGAAGAGATGAAAGGAAATCTGTAGTAGCCACTTCTTAACTAGATCCAGTTAAGAAACTGCTGCATTGACCATAAAGCCGTCATCAGGATCCTTCCCTCCCTGTAAGGAAGCAAAATTACATGCAGGGCTTTAAAGAATCTAAAATGATTTAGCTACATCATATAAAGGAGAATCCCAACTAATGAGCTTATTTAAAGAGGATTTCATCTCAAAATATGTGCATTTTTTTAATCAGTTATGTTGCATGATTCTGTGGCTCCATTTATTTAAGTCATTTTCTGGCTCATGTTTTAGACTACTTCCTGTACAACTGGAGCTGGAAGAAACGGTTTTTAAAAAGCTGTTGAGGTTCTATATCTGTAATAAAAAGAAAGCTTGCAATTTTTTTGCTGCTTAAAGGTCAGCAGGGCTCTTTATATCTTTGATGGAAGATGTTTGTTTCACGCCTATTCTTAGACCAAAGCATTAAAGTGCAAAGTATAGATACAAATGAGCAGAAGTAGGAGTGGCCCATTTTTGAGATGCGTTGCATAGTCTGCGTTCATTGTTCTGTTATAAGGCATCAGAAATGGCTGCTCTGTGTGAGGCAGGAAGCTGCTTCAGGCCATCAGCAGAGCTTTAAAAACCATCTGACAGTGAAAGTCTGACTTGCAGAACCGTCTTTGTTTAATGTGACACACGACGTCTAACATTTGTGGTTAATAAATAAAAATCTGATTTTTTGCATAAACAGGCTAGTATTTTTAACCAGAACTTACCAGATTAATGGAAAAAAAATTGCTCATAACTGCACCACTCAGCTGCTACAGAGTGCGTGCGCTTTGAGTTGCCTTGTTGCTGAAATTGTGCTATATAAATAAAATGACCTTACCTTACCCATCACCATGGCATACATTTATGATGATCTGGAAAACATGTTTAATAAGATACTGCTAAATGATTTTTTTTATTTAGTTATGGATCTTAAGACTCTTATTTAAACTGTAACTTATTTGAATCTAATGTGTTTAAATCTTACTACATGTTACCTTGATTTAGCCAATGCTGCTAATATGGAAACAAACTAAACTACTTCTCCTGCTACAAGGAGATTCCTATATCCTTTGTCTTTATGTAATTTCATTAATTAATGTAACTTTCTAGTGCATGTCACAATCCCCTTGGAAAATATTCAGATCAACAAACCAAGAAATCTCTCTGCTGTTCACAGAGGACTCGGCTTATGGTTGTGCATTTAGACTTGGAGAGGTAAACAAACAAGTTAATGAGGTTTACCTGGTGTTATTGGAGGTAAATCTGGGGTCCTATGCGGTATGGAAAATCAGGCATTTAAATCTTTCTCAGGTCTGGATAAAGACCATGCCTTGGTGTGTCAATCCCCTTATCCATTGATCACTTTGTCCTTTCATTCATCCATCAAGAGCTGTTTTTATCTGATATTATGCAGCCCTATCTATTGGCATGTCAGTTTGTTCATACGTCTGTCTGTCCATCGGTTCATTCACCCACCTACCAACTGTTTGTCTATTAATTATCCATCTGTTTGTTTGCTTTTTTTGTCTGTTTTCCATCTATCTCTTTTTTTTTGTCCATTTGTCATCCTTCCAGTCTTGGGTTTTTCCAGGTACCACATTTAAATCTCTTCCTTGGTAAATAAGTCTGACTAAAAAAGTCTTTATAAAAGTATTTATATTACAGCTAAAATAAACTGACAGAAATTCCAGTTTGAGCCCAGAAGGGTATGAAATTTTAAGATGACGAATGTATAGAGATGGAGATCAGACTCGAGGGCTTCCAGCGACAGGCATGTGACATGACAAGCCTCTGGGGATGGAGGCTGTGCGCTGCAGGGTTGGTGACCCGGTCATGTAGCCAAGACTTGCGAGCGCAGAAGAGCATAGATTTATTACTTGCTGCTCTGTTTTTCCTGCATTATTAAAAGTTGGGCTAAATAATTCAAATCAGAAGGCCTGTGTGTAATTTCTGAGCCTGTAGCAGATCTGTAGTTTTGTATGTACTTTTTTTTTTTTCCTGAAAATTGAGAATCTTATTTTAAATTAACTGTGTGTGTCACTTGACAGTTGGCCTGTTTTAAAAACACACAGAAGCTACAAGCTTTTTTTTTTTTAATGAATAAAACATCTTTTTTCTTTGTTTTAAAGTCGGCCTCAACTGAATGTTGGTTGTGACAGCTGGATCAGATGCAACTACTGCATATTTACCAGTGCTCTGTGATTTAACCTTTGCAGCATCTCCCTCCGTCTCTTTTCAGAATGGCCATGCTCCTGCTGCAGAACTGGTGCAGATCCAAGATCAGCTCAAAGATGTGAGTCCTTTTTGTCATATCTTCATAGATTTGACATCTTAAACTTCATATTCTGTCATTGTGTACCATAGGTACAATGAAAGTATATTGGGAAGCTTGTAAAGTTTCTCAAGCCATGAAAACAACAAACTTCAACACATTTTATTGGGATTTTATTTGAGAGAAGCACAAAGTATCAAAACAAAAACAAAAAAAAATAAAGTGGAAGGAAATTGAGACATGATTTTCAAAATGTATTATAAAAATTATTCTGAAAAGTGTGGTGTGCCTTTACTGTGTAGAATGTCTTTTAGATACAATTAGAACTACGACATTTGGAGAGAGTTTTTGTTAGTGTAGTGGTTTATAACTGAATCAGATTGGCTTAAGGACGTTTTTAAAACCTTTCACTAATTCTCAACTTGCATTAGATCCAGACTTTGACTAGACCAGGTATCTGTAACCTGTGGCTCTGATCTCAAATGTAGCTCTTTAGACCCAACACAGTGGATCTTAATAACTGGAAAAATTGAGCATTGTTTTAAAATGTGAAGTCATTAAAAAAAAGGAACATATTTGCTTCTTCCCATCAATGTCAAAAAAATACTGACCTTTTAAACTTCATGAACTTTTTCTTTTAATCAAACTGGTGTTTCGTTTCTCATTAATTCATGACCTCAAGCTCAAGTTGTTGTCATTACCCAGAATGCAGAGTGCTTGTCTAAAACAGTTGTAAAATCTTCCCATCAGGCTCTGGAAAAGAACCAGCAGTGGCTGGTCTATGATCAGCAGCGAGAGGTCTTTGTGCAGTCGGTCGTTGCCAGAACAATGGAGTTGGAGCAGCAAGTGGCACAGGCCAAGCAGCAGCAGGAAAGCAAAGCAGAACCCGGCTCTGAGGGTAAATGTATCTTACATCCTCATATATGCAGGATGGATAAATAGTATGTGTTCAGACACAGAAAGATGATGTAAATGTATCCTCGGTGCACATTCTTTTCAGTCGAGTTTCTTTGTTTTTATTTCTGGTCAAAAATCGGTGCTCTGCTGTTGTATCAGCAATGTAATGCAATAGTTTGCTCTTAATATTTGACGGAATCTGAAAAATTTGCTACAGAATTCGTCTTTAAAATTTTAGTGGAAGCTTTTTCCTCCTGAGCTGGAGGCCTGATTTTCACCATGCCCCTCCTTTCCCCCCTTGTGTCAGCTTCAAACAACACTCAAGGTAAAGAGAAGGAGTCTGACCTGAAAAAGCACTACGAGACGATGCTTTTAGGTGTGCAGAAAGACCTGGAGAGCCAGAAAGATCAGACTGCCAGAGCTCTGCAGGAGTTAAGTGTTCAGAAGGAACAGGTAAACAATACGAATGCTGGAAACTTTCTACCTAGAGAACCTCGGTGGCGTCTTTACCCACACTACACATTTTAGAGGGGATTTTCTTTTCTTCAAACTTAAATGTCTTTTTGTCAAAAGGAAATTTTATATCAAAGATAGTGATGTGCGTTTACTCAGGCTATTTGTTTAATTGCCGGTATAAAACTACATATCAGCAGAAGATGGCTGCTGATTTGTAGCTCTTGTCACCATTTTCCCTGTTGAAGTGTGAACAAATTCATTGACATTCCGTCCTTTGAAAAAGGCAGCTTCAGCACCGAATCAGTATGCAGCTGAATATACAGAGTCCTTGGATTCAGACATCTTTATAATTGATCTGCAGAGCTGGATTAAAGAACCGAGTAAGATGGAAAACAAACAGCACTTTTGCAATTTCTTTCATGGCCTCTGCAGACCTTGAAAGCTCAGGCCGAGCTGCAGCGGCAGGGGGAGCAGGTCAGCCGGGTGCAGGAGGAGCGCTGCGTGCTGCAGAGGAAGTACGAGGACAAGTGCAACGAGTTGTCGGCCTTTCTGAGGAAATGCGAAGAGAGGGGCAAGGAGCTGGACGAAGCCAAGATACAGCTGCAGGCGGAATGCCTTGGCAACAGGTAAAACTGTGCTCTGAAACAACCCAAACCTGTGGCAAGAAAAGGCTGAAAATCACTTTAAACTTAATTCAATATTAAGTAGTGTTCCCTCTGAAATGAGTGTTTTCTTTTAGTGGCCTAATATCATAACTTTTACATCTAGACAAGTGGCGCACGAGGAAAGAAAGGTGTCGTCCGAAAGGACAGACAGGGTGAGAGCTGACCTGGAGAAGGTGGAGAAACGACTGGATGAGGAGAAGAAGAGATCAGCTGAGCTCCTGCAGCAGGTCAGACTCCTTTAGCTAAACAAGATGCATAGAAGGATCAACAAAAACCGTTTGGACAATTACTAATTTTACATGTAAATGAACTGAACATGCACCAAAATGTGAATACAAAAGATCCAAGTAGGTTGTTCTTTTATCTAACTGTAAGACTGCTTCAGTAGTAGAATGTGAAGAGTCCCGGTGAACTTCTAAATGACTCTCTGGAGGCTTGGCTGAAAGTTCTGTTGTGGAAAAATGAATTTATTCAAGCATTGTTAAAGGTGAAAATCAGCCAAGCTTATTAGGAATATTATACAAGATGAGAGCAGAGAACTGTAACAAAGGCGTCCAATTTAAAAGTAAAAAGCTTTAACAGACAACACGTGTTTTATACCCAAGGGCAGAAAAATGGGGCAGAATAAGACAGACTGAGGCTAGCTCTTTGGCAGGTTCCTGTGAGAAACTAGTCTATTCCACTAGTATATTTACATTTTCCATCAATTCAGTCCACCATCTTTGAAGGAGGAGAAATGCAGAATCTGACCTGAACACAATTTTGAGTTCTTCTGCTGGTGGTGCAGACCATTAGGAGGGGACTTCACTGCATAAAGAGGCCAATAAATAGAGTAACTTTCAGTGGAATCATGTACATGGAGTCTTGCAGCATAATTCTTCAAGATGCACTACTAAGGTAAGAATGGAGTGGCCAAAGAAGCAGCACATGGGTCATGTAGTGGCTGGTCACTCTCCAGATCTGAGTCCTGCCGAGGGAGCTGGAGCTTTACAGTGGCAAGCAGCAACCAGGGAACCTGAAGGAGTTTTTGGGAGGAAGGCTGGGTCAAAACCTCTTCTTAGCTGTGTGAAAATGTCTTAGTGCTTCAAACTTGCTCACCAAGTTTGAAGTTTTGATTTGCATGGAGATGAAATGCTCATTTCACTCAGTGACATGCAGACCATTTGATGCCACAACATTTACACTGTTCAAAACATCTGCATGGCATCAAATACTTATTTATTATACTGAAGTACTTAGATTTTCAAAATAAGAGTCTACCAAGGGGTTGGGAAAAGTGAAGATATAAACAATATTACAGCTGTTCACTGTGTTTGGATGTATTTTTGTGTTAATTTATTCAATGTGTATTTAATTTCACATTTTACAGTTGGGCTCCTGCTCAGGCTCTCAAACTGTTTTACATTTTTCCTTCAATGTGGTTGAAAATGATTAAATGCTCTGCAAACACAAAACTCTTCTACCTTGATAATTTGCTCTTTATAGGTAAATATGCTGCAGAAGTCTCTCATCAACCAAAATGAAGAACGAAGGAGAATTGCTGCTCTGGAACAACAGGTAGTGCTTAATTGTTTAGAAAAGTGTTAAAATACATAAATTACCTGACAAACGGCCATCTCTTTTTGTTTTTTCTTTATAAACAGGCAGAATTTTGGAACAGTTCCACTACTTTAAAAACTTTCTTTTCATTTCCTCCTAAGATCCAGCTCTCTGCCAAGGACTCCGAGAATGAAAAACTTGATCGTCAGAGCATGCAGGAGCAATTACAGAAAGTGCTGAAAGAGCTTCGCAAAGCTCGTGATCAGATTGCTAAGCTGGAGTCTGCTGTAAGTGTCTGTAGTGTATCTGTGTATTTAAATCATGCAGCAACTTTTCATCTAATGCTGTTTTCACAAGTTTGCTGTCCAAAAATGACCAAGTTGCTTTGTTTTACAATAAAAATGAATTTAAAAAAAGTAAAAATGCCATGTCTTGTTTTCAATTTCAGAAACAGCAGAGTGCCCGCTTTTCAGAGCCCAGCTCCTATAATAATCTGGAGTTCGAGCGCCTTACTATTAACTCTCATGGCCCCACATCCCCGTCTAAAGTCATCAGCCTCCTGGATGAGAGTTTCCTGGAGTGTCCAAAGTGTCAGGCTCCTTATCCAACCAGTCGCCACAGAGAACTCCTGGCCCACATTGACTACTGCTTTGCCTGAATGAACAGACCAGATGAGTGATTCCCAACTCAGACATTAACCGAAGGGGGTAGCTAGACAGTGAAATTGGTTTTAGCCAGAATTAAGATTAAATTCTGAACAAAATATAAGCTTAAAAAGGTTGGGAATTACCAAAACACAGATCTGTTCAGCTGTGCAGAAAATGTGGCTTCAAACATGTTTGTTTTTTTAAATGTACTTTTTCCAAAATCTTGTACATTTTCTATGCAAAAACTATAGGAATATTATTTTCACTCACCAAGAGGGTTTAATGATCAGCAGCTATTTTTTGTTTTGTTTTACCGTCATAAATCCATGTAATAACTCCAGTCATGCTATACTGACTCGTCCATTTTCCCTAAAATAATGGAGGGGGGAGATTACGAGGCTTTTAAGTTTTATAGTATCATATTTCAGACAAAATCAAGACAAGATAAAATAATTCATTCTCGGTTTCTTTTCTTTTTTTTAAGGGACTTTAAAGCAAACAATCCTAACATTGTTTGACACATTTAGACTTGATCACCTTTTATGCATTTAGTCTGAAAAATCTTGCTCCAGTTCTTTTTTAAGTCCTAGCACTGATCATTGACATAACGCTGGTGGAGGGCTTCTCTATATGTTTTAGCTGATGTTTTCATTTTTTGTTCAGATTTTTATTTTTGTGTTTTATCTTGGTATTTATTCTTGGGTTTCCTAGGAAATGTGGAAAGCTCCTATATATTTTCCAGTGAATTATGTGTGTTTAAGATTTTCTAATCATGCGGTTTCCTCCTCCTATTTACACATGACAGTTTAAGGATCTCCGTTGTATCATATGAATCAAACCCCTATAAATGGGTCATTTTCCACTCCCAGTTGTAATACTTTTATCTCTTGGTTGCATTGTGTTGTTGATGATGGTATATCTTGTTAAGTAGGGACTGTGCAGCTGTGATTGTTTACCATTTTATTGTATTTATGCGAAGGACAAAATGTGTTAAATTTCTACACTCCAGCTGTTGGCGATTTTCAACTTCATTAACTGGCAATTACAATTATCAGCAAATGTCCATCTAATTAACCATATGTCTCTTACATTAGCACCGCCAAACCTGTCGAGCTCGTTTCACACACTTGGATAAACATTGCTGAACCGTGACGGAGATTTTTCTGCCTCGCCTCCTGGTTTTTAGTTGCTTAAACTCAACCAGACCAGATGCATGTAGCCGCGCGGGGGTTAAAGGTCACGTTTGTCGGGTTGTCTGTGCATTCCTCTCTACAATCATCACCTTGACTCTTCAAACCTGCAGCCCTGTCAGGCTGCAAAGAGATTGCATGACTTAATTATTTGTGCTAAACTATTTACAACAGGGATTACTAAGGTTTCCTTGTTGGGAGAAAGGTGTTTATTCCTGCAGTCTTGGCGATGTGGCCATGTTGATTTAAGGGAGACAGACGTTGCTGTGACTTTTGGGTAGCTTTGATTTTACTTCCACCGTTTATATTTTAGTAGAGTGCCATCTGGGAATTTTTTATTTTTATTTTTTTTTACCAGGTTATGTTTTTAAGTGTTCTTTAATGTATCCAGATCATGTGCTTCTGAATTGTTTTGCTGTGCTCAGTACTGTCTACAAATGTGCAATAAAGACTTAAAACTCCATCCAGAACAATCCTTCAGTGTCATTTTGTCTTACTGCTGTAATTTTTTGTTAAACGCAACAGCAGTTCTCTTTGCTGATGAGAAATAAATCGAAAATGTTGAAGTTTGCTTTTTTTTTTTAGCTATAATTAAGAGAAACACACTTTAATTAGTTTAATTTTGCATTCTTACTTTACATAAATCCCAGTCTGGGTTGAGACTCAGAACAGTTGGCAGCCATGGTAAAGATGTTTGCAGAAGCTTTAAATTAAACTTTTATGGAAATTTGTTGACTCCAAAGTGCTACTTTCTGCAGTTTTCCATCCTTCCTTACAAAGAAACTGGTTTTCATCCTTGTTTGTCTTAAGTTATTTTAACCTTTTTTAATAATAGTAGATATGGACAAGTTTAGGGAAGTGGCTGTTTTTTTTTTTTTTCTTTAAATCTTGTTTTACATTACAAAATATTTCTCTCCATTGTCACTTTATTGTGGACTCAGAAGGTCTTTTTCTTTTTAAGAGCCTCAAGTACTTGGTGTGTATCTTGTATAAACTGAATGACATAACTAGATTAAATTGATTTTGTTAAATAAAAGAAGTGGAATAAATATGAGACTTAACCTGCTGTTTCATGCAGATAAAGTCTCACTCCTATATTCCACTGCCTACTTTTTGAATGGTTTGCAGGACAGACTCTAGATAAAGCTTGATGTATGCTAAGTAATGCAGCAGACTAATGCACTAATTTAAATTTTAATCTGATTGCAGTGCATTAAGCATGAGTACATGCTGGTCATTTCAGGCCGTGCAACAAATTTCACTGAAACGTCTGTCACAAGAAATCCTTGTACCACCTTTATAAGCAGCTATGGCTTTAAAATGCTGCTGAGACGTCTGGAGGCCTGTGATGTTTCCTTTCTAATGTAGATTGGATAGTTTACTACTGAGAAGTAGTGAAATTAGAGTTAAAGGGATGACTGCAACTCTTAGTACTTCCTCTAAAAACAATTTTTTTGAAAAATATGTTGTAACTTCATAGTTCAATCTGTTTTATTCTTTTATTAGAATTACACATGGCTTTATTAGCTAACCAGCTTATTATGGTGCCATTAGGGGGGGAAAAAATGACCATTTTAAAACCCAGAGTCCAAGCTGATTACTGAGATGGAGCAAAGGCCAATAACTAAATACAGTTTTTAATGGACATAAATAAAATAAACTTAGAGTTTAAACTGAAAGACAAAAAAAACTGTTAAAGTTCATCTGTAAAGTTGACATGTTGGGTGTTTCCTATAAATCAATCCACTGCATAAAGAAACCAAATGCAGCAATTTTCCACAACCTTACGGCTTCCACAGCTACAGATTTATTGAATATCTTGTGGAAAGCAGATCAGATCATAACAAAAAAAATTTAACAGTCAAGAGATGTTTGTTTTATTTTAAAAACTGCACCAAGAAGTAAACATCAGTCAAGATTAACAAACAGATCTACTGCTGGATATGTTTGCTGGATATTACAGGTTAATAAAAAAAAAGTACTTGTGCAAAAGCAAAGCCCCTTTTATCAAGATAACATTCTAGATATTTGGATCAGACAAGATTTCCACATGTGATAATTTATAACTCCACTTCCTTATGAAGCAGTGTACTGAAAAGACATAAAATAAGCAACAGATGTCGAAGATAACACTGAAAATGAATGAGACCAAGGCTGACACTGAACAACAATAAGTGTGGAAGTTTTTATTTATTTCTTTAAAAAACAAAAATAAGGAAACTACTTCCTCTCGTGTGAGAGAAACTGAGGCGGTAGGGGTGAGGAGGAGGTGGGATTCAATCTGAAACCAGCAGAAAGGAAGAAAGGAGCATCAAGAGAAGGGTCACTGAGGCGGCTCCGCATTTCCGCTGCTCTCGCAGAAACCTGGGAGAGAAGAGAAAAACATTACGCTTATTAAAGATACTCATCAAACAACCTGCACTGTATTTCTTTTTTATTATTATTATTTATTTAGTCCATGACAGACTACCCAGTTGGAAATGCTTTACTCAGAATTACACTGAGTGCACATTCCTCTAATCAATCAATGAAGATAAACATTGGTCATAAGGTTTGAAGCAGCATCCCTCGGTTAATCATTAATTTGGTCTTTAATCTTATTGAATAACTCAAATTGCAACCTCCCTCAGATCCCCCCACCACCTCTCCTCCTCCTCCTGTAGGATCAATAACGGCTGGTGGGAGTCGACTCACCGTTGTGTGTTACGCGTCGGTATTTGCCCAAAAGACACAGCTCTGTCTTTTTCTGCGTGACGATGGCCTGGTCCTCTGGCCTCAGGCCGGTCGGGTGGCGCGAGAAGACGAAAGAGTAGCTATCCAAGCACGTGCCGTCCTCGTTGAGCAGCCTGCAGGAGTAGTGGACGGCGTAGTTGTCGTAATCGGTGTCGATGACCCAGTGTTCGTCATCTGAAAGCAGGACGGGTGATGTGAAGATTATAGAATGTTTGCTTCAGCTTGCTAAAATGGAAGATTTGCCTGGCTTCTTTAGCTCATTAGATTTCCTCTAAAACTTGGAACGTTCCAAAAAGCAATGGGTCTGAGGTCAACAATCTCCGGCGCTATCGCTGAATGTCAGCAGATGGCTGCAGTGCCAGGTTGAATTTTGGGAGTTTTTTTGTTCTCTGCCTTTCCTTTTGTGAGTCAAGTCATGCTTACTTCCTGTCTGCAGGTATGAGGCAGCTCCCCAGTATCTCATCTTGAACTTGGCAGGGTTCGTGGATTCCTCGAAGGTAGCAAACATGTGGGCACACATTTCCCAGTTGCTACAGGTCAAAGAGAGACAAAGAAAATTTAAAATCCTCAGTAATCTATGCATAGAGAACAGCAAGGCCTCCAGGGGGGGCAGAGGAAAAACCTACTTCAGGATGATGACTCTGCCCTTTGCAGTAGCGGCCATTGAGCCGTCGTCTTCGATGTTAAACTGGGCCACAACGTTGTCGAGTAAGAACAAACCCTCGGGGTCCTTCTTTCCTACAGCATACCAGGTCCCTGCATACTGTTGGGGAAAATAGCTTTAGTTAAACCTTATGGGATAAATGTTACTTTATGAATGCTAATTATATGTTACTCACAACTCACCCTGGTTTTGTCAAAGTCCTGCTTGACCTGGAAGTTCTCCACCTTGCAATCCTGCGCCCAGGACAGCGCCAGGAGGCAGAGAGCCACAACGAACCTCAGCATGCTGCCTCAGAGGAAGGGGGAGGGGGAAATGGTAAGAAGTTAGATGCAGAAAGTTTGGAAAAGAAAAGGAGAAATATTAGTTATTTTTCAGCATGTTCTGGTGAAATTATTCAAAAATATCTCCAAAGAACCAGTTTGTGAAAATTAAAATTTGTAAGCAAAAAAGATGGTCCCTCGCTCAGTGCGTACCTTGGTGCAAAAAGAAGTGGCTGTCTCGCATAAAGTCCACTCTCCGACGTCCTCCTGACTTTATATACAGCTGCCTGCTATTGCATAATAACATTCTGGGGTCCTGCACCACCCCTGCTCTCCCCACACAGTCAGTCAGCAGCGCTACATTGGACAAACATTTGCATAACTCCTCGCACTGGTCCAATTGATTTGCGTGTTCTGCACATTTGATTGACCGCTCCTGCGTCGGCCCTTGATGAACAATTTTCTCCTTGATCCTCTGAGAAGTTTTCAGTCTTGGTCTAAAGTACAAAAAGGAAGTGCACATCTGAAACATTTGGTAAGTTTACAAACTTTTGGTAAGGCTTGTACATAGAGCATCACCACAGATCAAGTTAGGGATGTTTATCCGCTGTCGTAAATTCTCAGAAAAACCAGAAATCTGAGTGGAACACACACTTGTATAGAATGAGCATTTTGTTTATATTTGTCAAAGAGACTTTCCTAAGTTGATGAATGCCTCATCAGCATAATTACATCAGCTGCTGCTTTATCTCCAGGCACTCTGTTTGTATGAAACAAGGTCGGAGTCCACTCAGGATATGTTCCCCTCTACAAATGTATTTGAGGGTCAAAACAGATGATAACTCAAAATAAAATCCAGTATAACTAGTAATTGTCGCATCGTCTGGGACGTCTGACAGTCAAGTTATTAAACAATATCGCTAAATATAAAATCTGTCATCCCAAAATGAAAATAGACAAAGTATGACACAACAAGAAACACTATGAAACATGGCAACACACCTAAAACACTCTTAGACGTAGGAGACGATTAATCAGAAAGGTCTCATACGTTCCTACTGTAACTCTGGAGGAGCTGCAGAGATCCACAGCTCAGGTGTTGGGAACCTGTTGACAACACAACTATCAGTCATTCAATACAGGAGTCACAATATTGTTACATTAAAGGGGGGGAAAAAAGCACAGGTACAACAAACCATGAGATGAACAAAGCAAGAGACACAAAGCTTAAATTGTAGAAAGAGGTGATTTTACAAACTATCGAATCAGAGGGATAAACGTGGCTTACAAGCTTTTCTTGTTCAAAAGATTTTTGAAATCATGCTTTTATTCCACTTCCCAAGTCACTCTATGTTGTGTGGATCTATCACAAGCATTCTACATGACAAAATCTGGAAAAGAAAAACAGCCAAGGGGTGTGAATACCACAATACAATTACGATCTCCTCTCTGCGATCCATGTTTGTTTTTCAGCGTGTCCTCGTTGGCAGACCGGTTATAAACCGAGGCTGTTATTTTGCAGAGTTCATATAACCACACCTCTGAGGCCTAAGAGGGGCACAGTGGAGCCAAACATCTGTAGCTTACATAACCAGAGCTCAGGCCAGGATAAAAGGAGGGAAAACAGCACTCGCTCTCCTACACATAAATATTAGCAGCTGGAATCTGACCAGGGGCAGGCGCAGCATTTCACAATCCTGAAAACTGGCAAAGGGCTGAGATGCATTTCCCTGCCAAGCTTGTGTGTTTACGTTTCATATTTTGAGGAGTTTTTTTTTTTTTTTGGCAACAAGAGACAAGTTCTTGTTTTTAATGGGGTGTAAGATATGACTAACTCAAGACCCCTATAAAGTTTGGGATTCAATAAAACACCTCGTGGCTTATTGAACCATTTCCAGCTGAACTTTAAAGCTTTGGCAAGAGCAGGAGCAGTTATCTGCTAAAGTGAAAACTTAGCAGTTGGTAAACGGGCCTTGTGCTGCATAACTAAAGTCTATTTTAGAATGTTAGCCGTTTCTCCAAAAGAGCTTAATGTACTGGTCATGTACAAATTTAACATGCTCAGCTGCCAATGGGTCGGGCACTAGATTTGATAAACAATTTCCATTATCCTACTGGAAGTAGCCATTGAGGATGTAATGTAAATACCAGCATAACTCGTTGGTATTTAAATGCCTCACAAAAATCCCTCACACCATTACACTGCCAGCAGCCTCTGCTGTTGATTCAAGCCGGACCAGATCAAAATTCACAGCATAAATGTTTCAGCTGAAATAAATACTAATCTGATCAGGCAAAGTTTCTCCCATCAGTTGGCTAATTTTGGTGCGTGTGTATGAGCTCTAACCTTGGTTTTCTTTCCTTGGCTAACAGGAATGACTGTAGCCCATCTGCTTCAAGGTTCAACAGCTTGTGCGTTCAGAGATAGCATTCTTTGTACCTGCACTATCGGATTGAGTGTTCCCTTTCCACCATCTTGAACCGGTGTGCACATCCTTTTCTGATGTGTGACATCAGAAAAGCAATTTCTGCCCACAGAAAACGTTGCTTTTAAACCAGCTTTTGTAAACCTGGGAGATGGTTGTGCATGAAAATCTTAGAAGCTCCGCAGCTTCTGAAATAGCTATGTTTAAAGTCACCTGAAGTCTCCATAGTTCCTGTTCTGTTCTGATGTTTGAATATCAGCAAGTCATTTTAACCCTGCTTTTATGTCTTAATGCACTGAACTGTCAAGATATAAGCCATATATTTGTGTTGACAAGAAAGTAACCTAACAGAGCACCATTACTTAAATTTGATTGCTAAAATGATTTCAAAACGTATAGCGTAAAGTATAATTTCAAGATAGATTTCTTCAATTCAGTTCAGTTTTATCCATATAATCTTTTTTTTCTTAAAGAAAATACAACTTTGTGTCTTTTTCAAACCATGTAGAACTCAGTTAATATCAGATCAAGTCAAATTTTATGCAACTCAACTTGATCCAGTTTAACAGAGTTCATTCACATTCAATATGATTTTATTTACAAAGGGGAAAAACAGTTCCACAGAAAAACGCTGAGTTACTCTGAGAGGTCAGAGGGCAGCACTTTGGAAAAATAAAAAAAACCCAGGAAGGGCGACCATCTGCTTTGGCTATTGAGGGGGAGAGAAGAGAGATACAAACAAATACAGGAAACTAGGCCAAAGATACAAGCTCAGTAAAAAAAAGAAAAAAAAACATTATTAAAGCCAGGAATAAAGGAAAACAAATACATGAAAAAAACAGATAGATAAATACATAAGCTAAACTTTTAGTAGCCATTTTTTTAGATGGCTAGAATAGTCTGAAACCATCTAAAACTGAAAGTCTAACTGTTACAGATAGATTTAGAGATTACAGTAAAACTATACTGTACTGTGAAAAAAAAATATATTTGCCCCATAAATCGATTACTTTAGTTTTTGCTTTATTTTTTTATGTGACAGTCAAACAGATTGTGAAGAAAGTAATTTCCCTTAAGCCTAATAACAGGTTGTACCACCATTACAAACAACACAAGCCATCCGGTGTTTGCAAGAACTAAAGAGAAGTCGTTATTTCGCTGTGAAGGTTTTCTTTGCAGGATTTTTTTGTTTTGTTTTTGCAGAATTGTTTTAATTATGTAACATTAGTGAGGTTTATTTAATATGAATGTGTTTTGAATCATTTGCCTGCTGCAGAACCAAATGCATTGGAGTCATTGGTTTCAAAACGACATTTCGACATCCTCCTTCAGGATTTCCTGCCGGAAAGCAGAACTCATGATTCCATCTGCTGTGGGAACTTATCCAGGTCCTGAAGGAGGAAAGCATACACCTTTCATAAAGTTCCAATTCTTTTCTCCTGAGTCCAAAGATTATTTTCCCCAAAGTCATGGGGATCATCAAAATGTTTCTCGCCAAATGTTAAAAAGATCATTAGATTACTTTAACATCATAAGAACTTCAAAATTTAAATGTATGACACAAAAGTTGAGTTATATATTTGTTTAAAAAAAGAGATTTGGAAAAAAAAACACTATGGTCAACAGTACAAACTGATGACTGCAATACAGCAGCAGTGTAATTCAATTTTAGATTTTAGCTTAAAAAGTGAAGCTGTGTAGAGATATTTTATTTAATTGTAGATAAATGATCAGATTACTAAAATTATCTTAATACTGCACATAATCAGTCTTTGGTTGAAAAAAGCATATATATATATATATA